TCTTTAGGAGGACATGGGTGTACAGCAGTTTGCAGGAGAGGGCAGATGTTTCCTGCTAAGGTGCAGGCTTGGTGAAAAAAGTTGCTCTAAGCACACATATAAGTCCAAAAGAAACACTACAACCTCCCTTAAATTATGTGCTCCTCGACCTAATTGTAAATAAGAAAACAATCAGTACACCGCTATTCATCAATTAGTAAGTGCTAAAACACTACTACAATAAACCTGAAATATAAAAATTCCTGATATAGTCCCTGGATACTGATGAGACTTGCCGTAGAATTTTTGCTAAGGACATATCTGCACTGGCCTTTTGTAGTTTACAATCTAAAAGCTAATGAATAAATAAAAGTGAAAGGAAGGCAAGAAAGAAAGAAGAGTAAAAGGTTATAACATACATATTATATTACACAGTAATTATGTGCTTCTGGAATGCCAATTAGTAACTCCTTCCATGATCCAGCTCACAGTCAGATCAATATTAGGCTGATAACAGCAGAGAGTCATGATCTGAGAGAGAATGTTTTATTATTAAAGAATGTAGAAAGCCACAGAAACATTAGCTTAAATCCACTTTTTTTTTTTTTAATAAGAGCAAAATGTAGACCTAACTGTGTTAAGAGCAAGACATAAACATTTCTATTTTGCAGTCCCTGTAAATTCAGTACAAATGTTTGGCTTGAAGACAAATGTTTGGTTTGTTTTGGCAGATCCTAGGCACCCAAGATAATTATTATTTTCTATTTCTGTTTTGCAGGGTGTTTTTGCTTTTTTTCCTCCAAGCAAAGCAAACAATGTTTTAACAGAATTTTTCTCTGTCAGGGGAAAAAAATTGTTATAAAATCACTTGGTCATCAATGTAACATGGAAGTGATTCTCCTGGAAGAGCTAATTTACTCACTGTGTTGACAAGATGAGTCAAAAGTGTGAAGAATAAAACCTGGGCGAGATCCTGAAGTCGAGGCTATAACAATATAAAAATGAAGCAGGTATTTGACATTCACAGCTAAACCCTAGAAGTTTTTGTTACAGATCTCAGAGTGAAAGATTATCATTCATGGTAGTGTCACCAAAGTGGTAAGATTTACAATCATTTAAAAAAAAAAAAAAAGCTGTAAAAAGTCTTAGAGGTAAAAGGCTTTATTAGGAGATTTTGCATTTTATCCAAGGGTTTGGTATCTCTGGGCTTTTTTTCTTGCTTGATATTCATTTTCCTCTGTCCACTTTTTTCTCTGTCACCAAACCTACACTGGATGCAGTGCACTCAGTTCTCAGTACTCATGGATGCAAAATGTTGTGCCCTCCCCTCAACAAAGGAGAACATGACAAAGGAACAGGGCTTCCCTGTGTCTGGACACCAGCCCCGCTGCAGTGACAGGGTGATTCAGAGCAGGAATTGTCACGGACAAAGTTTGTGGGATTCAATGTACTGGACAAGTGGATCCTTCTGCTTCTTGTTCTGTGAATTCAGAAGTTTATGCTGTGTTACAGAGCAGTGAGTAGCTGATCCAAAAACCATTGAGAAGTAACATCACATTGATTGTAACACAGGAGCTGAGATCTCACATGTTTGTTTGCTGGGGAGAAATAAAAGTATAAGAATAAGAGAAAAAAGAAGGAGCTTTAGAGGTCTCATTCCAGTAGGTGTGAAGTTTTCCTTTTCTTGAGTAACCTTTTTCTTGAGTCTTCATAATTGCTGGAACTAAAACTGTTTCTCGGCAAGTTATGATTAATATGCGGTTTATATTTGTTTGGTCACTAATGAAGTATTTTGAAAGTAATTTCCAATTTGAGGTCCTCATTACCATAGGGCAGTTACTTCTCCTCTACAGTCATAAATACTTTCTCATGGAATATCCATTTGCTCAGCATAGAAGCACTTGAAACTATTTATAAAGCAGATTTTACACCTGACACATTGAATTAAGAGTAGAAAAATGAGACAGTTTTCTAATGGCATCAGTATTACTGTGTTGGTTGTAAAATGGACTCATGTCTAGAAGGCTCTGATTCATGTTCTCTCTTTTTGAAGACTATTGACTTGTCTGGGTCTTTTTTTTTTTTAATGGCATATTGATACTGGTGGTTGTTGTTGTTTTGGCTAAAAAGTCCAGTCAAATGAACTTAATAAATGTTGCTGTTAGTGAAAAATTAGCATTGGTTGTCCCAAACATAAGAAAGGAATACTTCCCAGAGCAATACCAGGCCGCTCTCTGTTCTCTGGTACTTTCAGAGACAGACCTAGAGAGGATGAAATGGTTTTAAGCAATTTAATATTATATTTGCTGACTCTTTGAAGTAGGCCAGGGCAATTGTAATTCATCACTTCCCATGACCTTGCCCATTTGAGCATGAACTAACCAGCCGTTTATGGTGTGATGGATACAGTTATGTGTTACACAACTGGTTATTAGAGCCACAGGTAAATCCCCCCTCGTCCCTGAGCCTGCAGACATTTTGCATTACTGATTATACACTGCAAAGCTTAATGCAGCCTATATAAAAATGGCTGTGCTAATCGAAGACTTATACCTTTAATCCTCTCCCGCCTCAGCTCTAAGTCATGATTTTTATTCCCAACACTAACGGGATAAAGCCCAGCTGACAATTTCCTGAACCTGATGTGCAGTTCAACTGCTCCTTCTGAGAAGACAAACAAACCCCAAACCCCCTAACTTTGCTGTGAAGGGAGCAAAGCCCCAGCAGGTTTATTCACCCCACACAAACCTGTGCACAACCTTGTGCCAGGACAGCCTGAGTCACCAAGAGCAAGGCACTGAAGTGAACTTTTCAGGCTTTCACATCATTTAATGAAACAAAATAGCTGGTGTAAAATTTCTTGATGTTGGTATTTTCAGAACTAAGGATCAGTAATCGAATATCACCACTGACTGAATTGTTATTTTATTTTAGGGGGTAAAAAAACCCCCCTATTTCTGCATAGATACTTCCTACTGAATACCAATCTGGTTAGGGATTTCATTTTGTCACTGTAGAGTGCAGTAACTCCGCTAGAAAGTAGTTTGTGATCCATGCAAAGGCAGGATAGTGTCAGAGGCTCGAGAAGAAGGCAGTCAAGGAGAGAGCCCGTGGCTTTCCCCACCATCACCTTCACTGCCCAGCCACAGCATCCACACAACTCTCTCACACATGTGGACACCACCACCAGCAAACACACCGTCCCGTCCCGGATTGTCCCAACCGGACAGCGGCAAAACCATGACTGACAAGTCGATTTCACGCTGTATCCCTCATCCAGAACCTTTCCCGCACCGGTACCGCGGAGCAGCGATTCGGGAGGCAACCACAGCTCCGTGCCCACCGCCGCCTCCTCCGGGGCGAACTTTGGGCACAGCACCGCGCTGGGCTCGCTCGGTGCCGGTGCCCGGCGGGACTCGCGGGCCAAGCTGTCCCTCCTCGCCTCGCCTCGCCTCGCCCTCCGCCGAGCTCTGCCCGCGCCCGCACGGCAGGTGAGCGGCTCGGGGGCGGCCGCGGAGCCCCCGCTGCCGCCCGCCCTACCTTGACGCCCCGCGACGCGTGGCAGTGGACGTGGTGGGACACGGTCGCCGTCTGGTTCATGTTGCCGGCGGCGCCGGGCGGGCATGGGGCGCCCGCAGGTCCCTCCCGGCGCCTCCGAGCTGCCCGGGGGGCTCCGGTTGCGATGCTCCGGCTGCGATGCTCCCGCACCCCCGGGGATCCGCCACAGCTCCGCCCGGCGGGGGCCGCCCGCCCGCTCCGCCCCGTCCGGCACCGGCACCGCCCCACTGAACCGGGACCGGACCGGGACCGAGCCGGAGCTGGGGTCTGGTGGAGCCCCGCCGCCCTCGCCCCCGGGGCCGGGGAGCAGAGTCTGAGCGAGATCAGCCGCGCTCTGAGAAAGCCGAGCCCCGCAGCGCTCTCAGCTGAAATCAGTAGGACTGCAGCAGAAAGTTTATGTTGGCTGCTTTTTCTTCCGTGCTTCCCGTTTGGTTGGGTGTTTTTTCTTCCCTTCTCCCTTCCCCGTTCCCTCCTGCCGCCTCTTCCTTCGGTTCTGAAGCGACTCCAGCCCGCTGCGGTACTGGGGTATGGGCGTTCTTATGTAACGCAGGTACGAGGTTCGAGCATCAGCCCCGCGTCCACTGCCAGCGCACAAGGGGTTTCCGTGTTATGTTAAGCACACATCATCGCGCCTTGTTAAGCACTGTAACAGCTCTACGCTTCTCCGTGGATCAGAAGAAATGCAGCTCTGATTAGACTTTCACCCAAATAACTTCCATTGAGTTTGTTTGTGGTACAGTCTAAAAATCCGTACCGTCCACAGCTCTCAGCAGGACTTGCCAGAAACATACAAAATGCTCCTTCTGTGGGTCCAACCCAGAGCTGGTATCAAAGCTTGGATTTGGGAATGGAAACTAGTAAGCTCTGTGAGTGGATTGTGACATCTCAGGCTTATACTGATCAAGCAATGTTGTATACATACAACATCTTTAAATGACTTTTACTTTAGAGAAACCTACCAGTAAAACAAGACACAGCATGCCACATACCTGGGGTGTCTTTGAGGGATGCATGAAACTGCAACAAGGGCAGGTAAAGTCTGTTCAGGGGAAAGTGAAGAAGAACAAGGGCAGACTGCAGCCAGAAGCCATGGCAAAATCTCCCGAAGAAACTGCTGGAGTGTCTCACTGCATTAGTCTCCAGCTTTAGGCATCTCTGAAGCATTGGTTCTTTCAAGAGGGAGGCTGTTGAGCACTATTTGATACTGTATCAAAAGTTATAATTCCAGTACAGGAAGCTATTGCTCAAAAATAAAATGACTTTTAAATATTCAGGCCCCAGGTTGAGCTTGTTCTATGGTTCTGTCTCATTTTCCTTCCTACGCCCACCCATTTTTTTAAGTAATTTGAAGAAACTGTACAAAGCATGTGTCCAAAAAGTAACAATGCAAGAAAACAAAAGTTTTACTAAGCTGTGCTTAGAGAGGTGTGAAGAAACTCTATACAGGCATTGGTTTCCTCCAAGCACCTGCTCCAGGGTTCAGGCCTGGAGGTGCAAGTCAAAGGTTCATCCCACTCTGAAAGGGAAGGACAGGCAAAGGGAGAAGGCTGAGTGCTCAAAGCTCAACACATGCTCCCAGAGGACTATGGGGACCTTCAGCTGTGCTTCTAAATCTTGACATGACTTCAGAGGTCTGCCAGAGCTCTTTTAAATGGGGTTCATTTTCAGAAGATTCTAATTTCCTGGAAGAAAATCTGCTTTAAATCATCTCAAACACAGTATTACATTGTCAAAATTCATTTTGCACATCTTAACTCGGACTCAAAGGCAGGTGCTGCTGCAAATGGATGGTAAAAGAGGTGGAGCTGATGAGGAAAAGTCTGATCTGCTCAGTCTGCAGAAAGCTGCCAAGGCAGCTCTGTATGGTAGCTGGCCTTGAGTGCAAATACCCCCTCCAGAGGGAGGAGAGCAGTCAGAAATGTTTACTGCAGTGACACCAAGAAAAATGTCATTTCCCTAGGAAGTCAAATGTAGACTAAAGGCACAACAACAGGGTCCCTCGTGGCCCAGGCAGGATCATCTCTGGGCACCACAAATGAGGCATCCGGGCTGGCCTCTAGCCTGCAGGACTTGCTCGCATTAGCCTCCTTCACCTTATCAGATTTATTGGATTTTGAGCAATAAAAAACACATTTAGCAAGCATATCAGGGGCTCAGCAGTGCTCTTTCACCTCTCTCTATCATATGCAGGCAGGAATGAAACTTAATGGATATAGATGGGGAAAAAAAGACCTCACATAAAAATGAGACTTATGATTCAACTCAAAGGTTCTTTGGTTGGTGTGGAGGAGGAGGGAATAAGTAAGTGGCTGTTTGGGAAAAGGGCTAACAGGCTAACTTTCACCGTACTCTGCCCAAATATTTGTTCTGAAAGGAAAATTATGATTTCAAGTTATTTGTCACCAGGAGCTTGAGCAAGCAGAGGTAGCCCAGAAGACTCATTCTTCTTCATCTTTAAATATATTTGTGTTTAACAGTCTCACTTAGGAACTACTTTAAGACAGAAGAATGAAGTAGTAATATTTTTAGTCTGACTACCTGTGGATTCTTGTAAGCTCCTATGAGAACTTTGTGTAAAGTCCTTGTTCTTGATTATTTTTTTTTTGTGCTTCACAGTAGCTGACCTTCCCTGCAAGCCCCAGAACCAGCTTTAGGCTAACAGAGAAATCTCTTCCTCATAATAACAAAGAAAAAGCAGCTTGGGTTAAAATGCTGCCAAAGACAAAGAGAAGATCAATAATTTGTTGGCATTGTTTTTAAATGAACTTCTACAAATTTTAACATATCTATTCCTAGAAAGTATAAAGTTTGCTGATTATGGAACCTAATTAGAGGATGAACCTAATAAGGACTGGAGTTGTAAAGTCTCTAGAAGTGCATTGTTTGTCATTATAAAATATCTCAGAAGCAAGGTAGATCAATAGAGTGGGATTCCACAACGTGCTGACTGAAATCCTCCAGAGCACCACTGCTCACTTCTCCAGTAATGTCATTCCCTGCCATCCCTCTGGTTCCTCGATGTGGCTGTTAATCCTCCACAGATGTAATCTTCTTTGGAAACTGGCTGCTTAGCAAAATGCAGTTCACTCTGGATGTTGACTTCTAATGTGAGTATCCATATTAGCTCTGCTAGGAGGTTTTCAAAAATGTCAGTGCCTTTAGGGTGCAATTAAATAACTGAGTGATTACCAAAATATGCTGGGGAATATTAAAGATGTGAGCAGATGCCTCTGTTACATATTGCAATGGAGCAGGTGGTACCTACCAGTGTTGGAGCAGCCTCTCAGCTCACTGAATGAACCTCCTTCCTGAAATATTTAAAATGAGTAAGAAATCAACATGATCAGCCAGGAAAATTGATTAAGTTATCCAGAAAAGTTTAAGTGTTAGAAGCATTTCTGATAGAAAACCCTGCCTGCCCCACTGTCAAATGCAGCGAGTGGCCACAGGCAGCAGAACTGCTGCTGCAGATGCTGTTTCCCAGAGGTTCTTGATCACTATTCAAGTCCTGCAGTAACCTGCTGTTATAAACTTCCAACACAGTTCCCTGGCCACATATTTTCCTGCCTCTTGCTTTCTAAGCCTTATGTTCTTTAAAAAAAAAAAAAGTTCCCACAGCCCTTTTTTCTTTTTTTTTAAAGTCACATTACATGAATTGTATAATCACCATTTTAAGAAATAAAAAACTAATGTGTATATTGGTAATTATATATACTTCATGACAACATGTTTTTCTATAGCTGTTTGCTTTCTTTTCTCTTTTATGGAAGTATATAAAATTTACTCTTACTGCTGTTCCACATAACAAGGGCCTAATTCTGCACTTGCATAAGTTGGCAAGCTATTGACATGAGTGAACTCAATTTCTAATTCATACCAGTTCATAATCAGATTACAGACTTCTCTGTTTATGGATGAAGAAGTTTTAATACTGCAAGGGAGGCTGACTCTGGATCACTGCTAGGCTTCTGACTTCCTCAGAATTATTAACCACAAGGAGCTGTGCTGTGTGTTGATACTGAGCTTGTGTGAACCACAGACAGGGCATAGCCTCCCTCCAGTCAGCTTTCCAAAAATCCTCTATTTCTTTCCTGTTACTCCAAACAGGTCTTGATGAAAAGGCTGGCAGCTATCACACACTGCTGGTCATGGCCAGCAAGTTCACACACAGCTCAAGGCATCCCAGGAAAAGCTGTTCCTGGAGGATGGCAATTCACCTGTACACCTGCGTGTGTTCCTTCATGCACAATCCCACATCCAATGCAGACTTTGATCTGGCTGCAGCTGATGAAGGGAATGTGAAGGAGAATTCCCTCAAGTAAAGCTCAACTTCAGACAGACTCAATAAATCAGTGGGATGCCAGGCTACAGTGCCAGGAGCTGCTGCTGCTACTCTGTTAACTCACAGTATTTGGTTACTGGAATGAAGGATTTCTCCAAGTGGACATCTCTCCCACTGGGAAAGCTCTGTGTTATCCCTGCAAGATGTTGTCTTACTCACTGTACGTACATCCACTCCTCTTACTACTCCAAATTTCCCTCACAGTTTACTGTCTTCAAGTTTTGTAGGGTAATTTCTAGCCAAGGAGAATTCACACCATTGCTGAAAGACATGCTCAAAACTTATAATATCCAGTCCAATATATGGAACTGATGAAGAAACAAATACAGATCTTCCTCATTTGTACACACCAATATCCACTGAAGTATAAGGGTATACTTGTTATGATTACTTTCTGTTCTTATTCACTACATTTATCTTAATATAAATATTTAGATTAAATATTTGTAGCCCTTTTTAGAAACAAAACGTGTAGTGGAATATTCTGGTGCACAAATAATGATTCCTTCACTTAATTTTCTGTAAAATGGAGGTGAACAGAATTAAATTACAGCCAGAAGACGAAAAAAAGTCCTCCCTGTTATAATAATAATGAATAATTTTGACTAGATTTTGCCTGCAAACATGGGATGTCATGAAAATAGAATCAGTAATGTCTACATATCAGTGATTCAGTGCAGGGAGTGTGTGGTGAGAAGTGATGGAAGTGAAAAACAGGCTGCATACCACTGCCTTGTTACCAGGGAGGAGAATCAAGTGTTTTTTGAGATAGAAACTGTAAGTAGAGGCAAGAGAAAATGGTCTTTGCCTGAATGAACTGAACCTGCATGGACAGTAGGTGACTTTACGAGCAGCACTTTGCAGTGCAACTCTTAGCAGATCTCTCTGGGCTGCTGAATGAATTCTGATGAATCACAGGCAGTGGCAGAAGTAAAGAGTATCTTCAGGTTTCCTCCAGTCTGTTTTGTGTGTGCCTGTTACCAGGCTCAAACAGGGAATGAGAAAAGAGCAAACTTTGGCCCTTTCCATTTTCAAATGAAGGTTCAGAGTAATAGCCAATACTATCTTAGAAAATAAAACAAAGCAAAGCAAAACCCCAACATTTATGGCCACCAAACTATGTTAATTTTCTTTAGCACACTAGTTTTCAAAACTCATTGTATTGACAGATACACATTCTTTACAGGTGAGGAACATGAAGAAAGAAGAACAAATACTTTTTCTCTCATCTCACACAAAGTCTGTAGTAGGCCCCAAGAGCACTGTGCTCCATCTCACTGCATTGATTTAGCCTTCTATTTGCACAGGTCATTGCAATAAAAAAGAGAAAGGTGAACCTGAACCTATTTGAGAAGTAGATTTAATTTCATGCAAAATTATTACTCACACTGCTAACAGGATTCAATATTTCTACCATGTGAGAGCTACAGGATGAGCAATGTTTTTGCATGCGTGAAGATTTACAGGAACACAGCTAACCATCTCCCTACCTATGAGCATAGCTGTGTTCCCAGTCTCATCACACCACACTCAGGAACAGCCACAAAATACTGAAGTCATGCCAAAAGTAGTGTGAAGTGTCTTTCTGTACAGGCTTATGCTTCTTTAAGCCTTAAAATTTCACTTGCTGCAGAAAACACTGGACACCATGAAGAGCACTGGGTCTGCAAGAACATCACAGCCCTGTCCAGTGCTGATGCTCCAGGAAGGTTCTTGCTCACTGAAGACAGGCCTGAGCACTGGATTTCTGGGTTGAGGTCATAGCCAAAATCCAGTCTAGAGGGGATTTATCAAAGGTTCCAGGTTAGCACACAGGCTTGAATAAAATGTCAAGCAAGAGTGGGGGTATTTAGTCTAAGCAGATCCTCTCCCTTATTTTCAATATATACAACAAGCCACCCAAAAAAACCACACTTTTTTGAAGATTAGACCCCAGCTAGTAGCTCAACTTCTGAAACAGTGTAAGAATTCCCATACTGAGAGTCACTCCAGCTTTCCGAGTATTTATGTACCTAACAGGCAGTTCTAAAAAATTCTCAAGGCTTTGCCAAGTTTACTATGGCAGAATTTGATTTGATCAAATTCTTTGTCCCCTCAACAGGAAGTTACCCTACGATTCCTTCTGCATCTGGGATATCTGCACTAGGTATCACATGCAAGCAAAATTCACACTGAGCCAATTTTATGCTGAACTGTTTGTGTGTAGAGGTATCATCCTGAAATCAGCAGCCAGTAGAGCCAGAAGAAAAAACAAAAAAAGGAAAATTCACATTATTTAAAGGATTTGAAGTTTAAATTCGTAGTTTGTAGCTATGGAGACTGAAGTGGGGGAGTAGGGGTTTTTATGCTAGGTCTCAGAGGCTGTGGGAAAGATGTTTTCCAGATTAAACAAACCACAAAAGTTCAATGAAAACAGAAAAAAAAAAAAGGAGAGAAAAAAATTTGGCTACATAGACCCATTTCCTTCATCTACCTGGATTAATACAAATCTAAGCAAAATCTTAAAAGCATTCTATCACCTGCAGGCATAAAAGGAAAAAAAAAATGAGAAGAATAAAACCGAAACTGTAATTATTTCTAACATTATGCTTCAGTGCTACTGAATAACAGACCAGAACTCTCACTTCCCTCACTCTATGTAAATCTAATAGCACATAACATGATGATTTTTTATACAGATGAAAGATAATCTATGATCAAATGAATACTTTTCCTAGAACAGTTAGGAGCAGTTTGCTTAAGGAGCAACAAGGAACAATTGCCATCAGAAATGATGTTTACCCCTGAAGAAAACCCGAAGTCTCTTTTCCCTACAAGAAGTGTATTCCTGCCTCTCCACTTTAAAATTGCTTTTACAAGACTCTCAGGACACTGAAGAAGGCCATATCTCATTGCCATATGTATAAAAAAGAAGATGAGTGATTAATCTTCTGGTTTATTCTTTCCTTACAGTATTTATTTATTGGTTTGGCTTAGTTTGTGTACATGTGTCATGACCCACCTCTGAGGTGGGGTAACAGATGAGCCTTTTCCCTTATCTGTTGTGAAAACACTTTGTTTAAGACATCAGTCCTGGGCCATCAGAGAAATAATAACAGGGCTCAACCAGTCCATCCAAGCAAATCATGAATCCATCATAACTTGTTCCTTTGTCATGGCAAAACTCATCATTTAATCAGACAGGCTGAAAGATGGGATAACCAACAACTATGTCAGCAGCTCGGATTTCCAAGGTGGCTATTAGGAGGTCATTGCTTAGTCTCCCCACCTCTGGGGCAGAAGAAAGCATCCTGAGGAAAGTAGAGCCTCAGGCAAGCTGCCAGCTGTTGTTCCAGCACTGCTGATGTCTGAAAGTGAACCTACCTGGTAAACTAAGGATTCTGCACAATCTCAGATTGTTGCCTCAGTAAATGAAAATGCAAGATGGTACAAGGAAAAGACTTGTGGGGAAAAAAACAACAACTTAAATGAAAATGGGAGAAGACAAATCACAGGAATTTGAAAGAAGAACTTGCCCAAAGCACCAGTATGTATTATGCTAAACCTCACAGTTTAGCATAATCCCAACCAATGGGCTATGAAGACAATGGTGGGGTTACAGTCCAGGACCAGACTTAGCCATGCTATGCCCTCATTGCTGTTGCTCACAGACATAAATGCTGCTGCTTAACATGGTCCTGGAAGACAGTCCTCTTCTTCCATGTGTAACATTTCCCAGTGTCTTCCCAGATTTGTGATGCCTTTTCACTAAGAAAACATCTGAAATCCCCCTTATCTCTCTTTTGAGTCACAAGTGTGTCAGTCACAAGCCCACGCTGCTCAGCCACTGTGATTGCTGCTGTGCTTCAGCTGACAAACTGTGAAAGTTTTGGCTGCCCAAAAATCATTGAGAACATATTTACTTCCTTTTGTTAGAATGATGAGATATTTGCATCTCATTGACATGTACCAGTGCACCTTCACATATCTACATCAGGGAGTTTTAGTGACATCAAGTATTGCATCCAACTAGTGAGGAAATACTACCTTGTTAATGAGACACGAAGCTGCTGCCAGATGCTCATTCCAATATCACTTAAACACGCATAGAAATCATGTCCTTATACTTTAAGATCCTTTTCGTATCCCAGTTATAAAAAATGTAGAACAATATGTGGGGGAAAACAGTATGGATCCCACTCCTGTACTTCACAATGAACCAAGGATTATTTCAATGGAAATCACAGTCAATGTCACAATGCTTAAACTAACCAAGGGGGAAGATATAAGATCAGAATGGTTTCTTCTTTATGTTTGGCTGTGAGCCTTTTAGTAAATTCAGAGAGCTGTTGAAGACCTGTGGGACTCAAAACATTGTGGAGAATTTGTCAAGAACAACCAAGTCTCATGTGCAGCTACAAATTCTCCAGAAATTGTGCTAATAACTAAATATAGAAATTATATTATTCTACTCTGTTTTTTGGTAAAATACTACAATTTATGCTTACTGTGATGCTGAAGGCCTCAAATGAAGGTTTGGCTGGCAGCTACAGTTACCTGTAGGCAAGCGCTGTTCTTTACATTTACTTATAACTTCTGAGTCAAATGCACCACAGCCACCCTGCACATACAATAAAAGGACACTAGCTCCAAACACATAATCCAGCCATTATTTTGATTTCAGTATGTTTTCCAAATCATTTTGAGAATACGTTTTTATTAAAGTACATGATTTGTCAAAAGTGCTTCCAGCAGATGTAAGCAAGACAGCAGAGAAATTGGAGCTTGCTTAACCAAGTTTATAAACCTGCTGTTTCAGTCTCAAAGATGAATTACACTGCAGGAGCACGTTCACTAAACGTTCCTGCTCTCCTTTTTGCCCTCCTACCTATGTTCAAAGAATAAAATAGAAAAACATAAATCAAAGTCTCAGAACATATTTCTCCTCCAATTCCAAAGCTGCCATATCTATATACCAGAGTCATAATCCTCTGCAATACAAATAAAAAGCGCAGCCCAACAATCACCACTTCAAAATAATTACAGGCCACACAGTAATTTACACTTATCTAAAGCCTTTCACCCCAAGGATCCCAAAGCAATTTATACACAATATAGATGTGGCTGATATGAAAACAGTAATGCCAAGGAGCTACTTGGGAATTGAGGGATTGTCTAAGCCATGTGGATCTTCGCAGTCCAAAACTTACCCATTACCCTGATAGCAGTTTGAACCAAACCAATTACAACCTTCTAGCCCAAATTTAGGACTAGTCTAGGTATTGACAGGCACATTGTGATCCTTTCTTTAATTTCAATAACGTTAAGAAATTAAGAAATGAAAAGACTTGATACAACACTGCTCAGTAGACATGCCCAGCTTCAGGAGGTGCTCATCTGAAGCACTACCAGGACTAACACATCCTTCTAGAAAGAAAAAAAGTCTCAATTTCTATGCTTGCTCCCCTTTTCCTTTATCAAATTTAATTCTGATCCACCCAGGCTCTGGCTAAGTACTGGCCTACAGGCAGAGCTTCACTTCTCCTGTAGTAGCTCTGAAATATCATCATTTACCTCCCAGCTGCTCAGTAAATTAAAGCAGACAGCCTACAGGTGCTTGCTGGAGTCCCAACACTGTCAACAGCACCAGGCCACACAGGTACAAATTGGTCTTTAAACATTGCTGTGAAATAGCTGCTGGTTCCCTAATCCTCTCAAACTACATCCCTGAGGCTCTGGGTGAGAGGAAGCTTGGGAAACTGAATGGATATCTATTTCTAACAATTAACTGGTAATCCATTTACATTTTCAAAGCGATTTTCATATGGAAAGGGGCTACTGGCTCATTCTATATTGTAAAACACGGGGTTTGTATTGGCTTTTCTCAGTGTTCAAAGTAGAAACACATAAAATTTGAAAGCACTCACCATACACTTTATAGGATCCCCAAAAGGCAAATTTAGGGAAAATAAAATCTCTTTTGCAAGTTGAGTTGTAGACACCAGCAACAGCAAAGCTCCCTGGCAATCTTCAGATCCAGAGACACCACTGCAAACCCCAGCATTTTAAGGGACTGCTAGTTATTATTAGCACAATTTAAAATTCGGAAATTGAATCAAAACACCTTAATGCCATGGGATGCCTCAGTCTTAAGGATAGGAAACTTACTCTTTTCCCTTGCTCAGCCCTGTGTAACATATTTCTCTACCAAAATATGTACATAGGCCTGTCAGGAAAATACTGGGGTTTTAATGTTTTGAATGAGAAAAGCACACACAACAGGACTGCAGCATCTGCTCTGCATGGCTAATGAGTCTGCAGTCAGTCTGATCAGCAAAAGAATTGGCCTCACTGCATCAGCAGGAGTGTTACTGGCTTGGGAAGGAGGAAAAGTTAAGTGTGTTTTGGGGGGAAGAGTTTTTGTTTTGTTGTAAGATAAAATAACACCAGGAGAAATCTTTTGCTGCCCACATGGCACCACATTTCTGTTTCACTCCTGAATGGCAGCTGTAGCATCTATCAGCAGGGAGACAGGACTTTGCTATGAAAGTGCAGAGAGAGAAGCCGTTGGGTGGGCAGTTTTTTGCTCTTCCTCGTGATCCCTGGGATGACAGCTGATCTACTAATGACACTCAAGACAAGAGAATTATTCAAGCAGTTTTCACAATGATATGCTGGAGATGGTTGATTGCATTGCCTCACACTGGATTTTT